AAATATGCTTGTTTTCAACAAGTGAAACCCAAGAATCTTCCCTGAGCAAAGCATGTTTCAGGAGTTTACAGTTTCATTTTACTGAATAAAACATAATTCATGTAATTCTCTGACTGCTCAAATCTCTGATAATTATGAATTTTCCTCTAGGAAAAATATGTATTTACTCAGAAAGAAGTTGAAGCATTTTAAACTTCTTCCCTCACACTACTCAAAAAAGTTGACCATATTTGTTTCATTTCAACTCTTATCAAATTTTTGACTTTGACTTTTTCACTGTTTTTGCAACTCCACATATCTTTATCTTCTTAGAGTAATTTTGATTTTAGAATCTCTAAAGTATAGTCACTCTTCTGTATCAGTAATCTCCAAATCATTTCCCATATTCATTTGAAAAAAATCTGTAAACAATTTCCGTAAGTGAACTGTGCATTACTTCCCTCTCTAACAAAACAGGTAGATTTATTATCCTTTTTCTTTGAAATGTCTCTAACTTCAGTACCTTCTTAGCTCTATTATCTCCATTTTTATCACTCTGGGTTGGTGGAGTGACCTCCTCAGATTCTGCTAGACAATGAACTGTAAAAGATGCTTAATCTCCATACCCTTGATAAATTGAACTAGTTTGAGAAAGAAGCAGGAAGTACTATTGGTTCCTCTTCATCAACAAAAATCTTTAAAGTAGTCTGCATGAGGTAAATCATCTTTGCTTCCTTCAAAAATCTGCGTATCAAAAAAATATGATAAGATTCATGAGACTCACAAATAGGTTATGAAAGCTTGCACAAATCGTTCACTTGCTTTCCTTTAGGAAATATGCCATACTGAATGGTGCTTTTAATTTTCTTTGGCTTTCTTCCAGATGACTTGCCTTGGTCTTTTTTTGCTTTGTGTTATTTGAATGAGCATTTACAAAAAAATAATAAACGTATGTTCCACTTCAAAATGTACACTGTTAGACTCTCAACTGTTTTCACATTTAATCTCTTCTCTCAATTTGGAAGAGAAGAAGGTTATCAGTACTAGTCAATATGTATTCATCAAGGTTATGGCATCTCCTGCTCCGGAGATATTCAAAACCCAGCTGCACTCCATCCTAATGCCACCTGCTCTAGGCAATCTGCTTTAACAAGAGAGTTGGACTCAATCTCCAAAGGTACCTTCCAATCCCAATGATTCTGTGATTGTGAATTTCTTTCAAGGAAAAATCATGCACTGACAAAGTGTCCTTTTTACTACATCTACAAACCAATCTCAATAACCTTCATCATATCAGAAACGAGATCAAATTCTATTCCTGAAAGTTTTTTTTAACTAACAGTCAATTTCTTGGATTTGATTTCCACTAGAAGACTGATAAGCTGCTGCACATACATTCTATGTTTCTATTAAAAATATTTTTTCATATTTTATTTTGACTTTCATGTAAACTTTATTTCTTTCTGCCCATCATCCTTTCCCTTTTAGCTGTTTATCTCCTTTTATTTTTTTTTCTGGTGACTGCTAGTTCTAAGATATTCTAATTGGAAACCTTTTTCCAGATTTTGCTTGATTACTTGATTACTGTTGGATATAGAACTAAGCAACAGCAAGAAAAACTGTTTTAAAGAATGAATATTAAATATGACATGAATTAAATCAAAACTTGAAAGTAGTATAGTAAGGGAAGTATAAAGACATCAGTCATGTTTTCAGCAGTCAGGCAATCAAAGCTGAAGTTTTCATTGAAAGTAATCTCACCGACAATCCAATTTTTTTTTGTTTAAATATACAGCCAAAAAAACTCACCTCCACTAATATGAATAAGCAGGAGACTATAGGAAGAAGACAACAAAAGAAAGTATCAAAGATAGAAGAACAACCCTTGTCCTCATCTGTACTTTCTTGACAAAACAATAAGACTGCAGGCAAGCAAGAAGATTCACTTGTTATACAGACAGATTTCCTAAAAGATGTGCATGAGGTCACATGAAAAGTTGCATGTGCCCAGACTGATTTCTGAAATTAAGATAAGTGAAAGTCTCTGCTGCAGCTCACTACACATATCTATGTGAACAGAAGCTGTTATATCTTGGCTTGCATTGATTTATCATTAATGAGGAAATAGAATTCTATATTTGTAGATATATAGATGAGTATTTGACAATACTTTACACTAAATTCTAAAACTTAGACTCTGCTCTCATGCTGGTATTTATCAGAATCAGCTTCCTGCAAGAACTTATTTACTTAATTTATTAGTTTAAAAAGCTCCAAAATCACATATAAAAGACAAGGTTATAGATAATAGCTTTCAAATATACATACTTAAAACCCTGAAGAACTATTAGTTTCTCGAACTAAGAATTTTTAAATGTTAACTAGAATTTATTGTAATCAAAACATAGCAGTGTAATTTTTTTACAAATCCAAGTGGCAGTTAAAATAATATACTGTATTTTGGAATAAAGCACAAGTCTAGTATTTGTTTTTAATTTTTCCAGCTTTCAGTGTTTCAGAAATATCATCTGCATCAAATCCTCAATTTAATATTTGATCATGAATACCAGAACACAAAAACAATTAAAACAATTTTTCTGAAATATAATTGAATCCACATTCATGCATTTATTCACATTTAACAAAAAACTGAGGCACAGTGCCAGAAAAACTTTTTTGCTCTACTGCTGTCTCAGATAATATAATTTTGGATCCTTATGCATTAGAAGAAATAGGCATACAAGGATGGCACATAGCAAAATGCTTCAGTGCATTAGCTAAAAGGAATTTACACTCCTACATGCAACACACAATTGGAGGGGAAGAAAGCTAGTTTCTAACTTTTACCTTTGCAAGTGTGTTGAGATTTCCATTAGAAAAGAAATATTTCTGTAGAACTTCACAAGAAAAATCACTGCAGAATGCCCAGTGGGCTCAAATGAACTACAAAAGGGACTATCCCTTTTCCTTGTATCCAATCAGAGGACTATTGGATGAAATGGAATGAGCCTTTCTGCCATTTTTCTAGTAGTCTAGCAAGTTTGGCACATGATTGGGTATTACTACGTATGTATGTCATAAGATCAAATACTGCAAATTAAAGACAAAAAAAGAACACCAGCAGATTCATTTCCTCTTAGTTTGGCAGTGGAAAACAACATCATTAGTAGTACCATTAATATGAGTTTATCAGCGTTTAGGAAAAAACAAGATAAGATCAGTACAATGTACTTCCTCAGAATTACAAATAAATGTCAGAAAGAAAACAAAACAGATAAAACTTCAGCTTCTCTGATGAACAGAACCAAAGTTTACCAATATACTTGGAACTTGTTCCAAATGATCACATCTCTGACATTAGAAAATTACAACTGTTTGCATTTATATTTCCTTTTAATAAAATAGGAGAACGTAGTAGGACACAGCTAATGCCCTGTGAGCAATAATCTGTAAAAACTGTAAAGATAAGAATGCCAAATCCTGAAAGTTCTATTCAACATCTTAAATAAAAATTCGGTTTACTTCAGTAGCAATGTAATGAGTAAATCAACATTAAAAAAATCTTGGGAATTTATTAATTCCAGTAAAACAGAAATTCCATGCAGTATAATGATTCTGATCTCCACTTCTACTCAAGGGGTCAGAGCATGTTCCCGGTCTTGAACTATGACTTGAACTTGAAACAATATTTAACCTTTATCTTCACGTTGCACAGGATGACTGCTACTGTGCCACTCATCTATACAGATTTAGTAAGATATAAAATGACCTATGTATCAAATGAATGAGTAAAAACAGATATAATTATGTGTCTCAGTAATTACACTGACTGGACTCAGTCCTGAGCGAGTTTTAAACAATTTCTACATATAATTACACCCCCAAACCAGTTTTATTCTAACCTACGAAAAATCCCTGAAGATTTTGTTAAATTCTTAATAAAATCAGCAAGCTTTGCAGTGCCTATCAGTAAACCATAATAGGCTAAAACAAGATTACTTGCTTATATACTGTGATGAATATTTTTGGGAGATTTCAGTTACAGTGCATCTTCTCTCAGACTGTACAGCAATAAAGTGATCCAAAGCAATCTCAAGTGTAAACAAAGAATAAGTTCATACGTAGAAATTACTCAAGTGTTTGCAGTTTGTTATATTCCAGCAATTCAAGTTTTAGAGAGACCATACTGTTCTGCTGCCTGAAACAAGTATTGGTTTTAGCACCCTGAAAGAAACAAATACATAATTTTTTTTTGTGGCAGGCACACACATCCAATGAGATCATAAATTAGTTTCCCAAGAGAGGGCTCACAATTAAGATAGGATCCGAAATACAAGCCATTTTATTTTAAGACTCAGCTAATGGATTAGGGGGAAAAAGAAGGTTTAGTTTCATAATATAAAATCTAGCTCATTTTTTTTTACTATAAACATTAGCACCACTGTAAAGTTGCGGAGAGTAGGCTTCTTGTAAAATGAAATGATCTAATTGTAAAATGCATTTGATATCTCCTTGCAGAGAGGTTATTTCTAAAAGAAAAATAAAATATTCTATACTAGATTTCAAAGTTATAACGTCAAGCAATTAATTTTTAGTGCTAAGACTGATGTCATGGAAAAGAAATTTGTAAAAATTTTAATGAGGTTTTACTGTTCCTATTTCAAGCACACTGCTTCCCTTATGTATTTACAATACCAGAATTACTGTTTGTAAGAAAAATTGCACAAGCAAGGAGACTTTATCTGTTCTTCTTTAATGTTGAGAGAATAGAAGTCCTTTAACTCCCCAGCAATTATTTGAAAAAAAACTATAGGCCTGCTAGGATCAGAAGTAGGTCAGTAAACTTGTCTTGTATGGTAATAATGTATCATGAACTCATTCTGCTAACTTCTTTTGAGTACTAGAAGATGTTCTGTTAAAGGAATATACCAATAAATTTTGTACTTATATGACAAAGTTTTTAACGTATTGCAAATTCATCTGATTAGCTTTCCCAGTCTTTGGCCATGTCTGCAACTTACCATTTCCATTCTCTAATATAGCCAATGGCTCTCTGCAGGCTGCTGTCTTTCTCAAGGTTGTCATAGTCCTCTGAACTTCTGCCAACAGCACTGCTTGCATTGCCTCAATAATCTGCCATAAATGCAAATTATTATTGGATGATACTGATAATTCAATTTCACAATTTTAAACAAATACTAGACAATGTTAAGACAGTTCCAGCAGATGCCATTAGAAAGGTAACTTTTACCATTAGACAGTGATAATCACGTGGCTCAATATGAATAACCAAATGTTAACTGGATAGCAGTAAAATGATGCAAGTTATGAATTGTGACTACTCTTCACAAATTAAACATTCATTTTCCTTAGTCTCAAAATTAGAACCAACAGTCTACTGCCTCTTCAATACAAGGGGGCCATTGCAATACTTGTTACTGAAGAAAATATCTTCATTTGTATGTTTGCAATAGTGATTTATGGACTGAATAAGAACCTCCTACTCTGATGTTTTCAGAAGTGTAACAATTTAGAAAGTAACGATTAGTTTGGTCTCTGAAAAATTTTGTTAATATTTTGCTATAAGTAGTAATCTCCTATTCCTCCAGCTTAATCATGTGAATACAATTTTTTTTGCCCAATACGAAGAGTAAAATTCCCCACTAACTCCTCTTATCCAAAAGAAACTGTTGTAAATATGGACAGCCTATAAATGGCACACGATACGTGTTGCACCACACACAGGCTTTAAGATAATGCAGTTTGTAAATGATATGGCAGAGTTACAATTTTTACTTGCCTTTGCTTAAGCAGAGAAGCCCAAGGAGAACTTGGGAAATTTTAAAACCTAAGGCATTTCTAAATCACATTGAAACCTTTCACAATGGACCCAGGTTTTTGCATTTCCTGGTCAATCTACATTTCAGCATAGCACAGAATGGCAGCACGTGTACCTTCTTTTAATTTATTATGTCTTACAGAGAGCAGATAAAGTTTCTCACCCCCTCACGTAGTCATTCTCAACTACAAGAAACTTACTGAAAGACAGAGAAAATATAAAGTTTCCAAGACAGCTTACACCATATAAATGTGAATTTAAGTTGCATATGAAAATAAGTTAAATATAGAATATTTATAATATAAATATATTTGTTCATTTTTATATTGTGTAAATTTATGTTAACAAATTAAATGCAGACTCCCTCAAACTGCCTGGAGGAGTTTCATCTCACTAATCAAGTATAGTGAATTCACAGGCCATCCTCAGTCACAGTTCTAGCCACTGTTATAAATTCAAATCATTAAACAGAACAAAGGCTTTTAGGTGTCCTTCATGACAAAATATCTTATTATAGACAAGAATACCCTGGTCAGGTCCACAGTGTGAAATTTCACAGCAAATGAACCCGGTTCTATGTACTGTTACATAGTGTAAACCTTCATCTTGTCATAATAGTACTTTATTTTACAAGGGAAACCAAAGGCAGTTTCCATTTCCTCACATCCATAAAACACTGAGCTTTGGTGATTACAGATCCTACTTTATATCAGACTCTTACAACGTATCTATAGTAATTAAGAGACTGAAGGCCTGAGAAGTTTTCATTGTCTTTAGAAAATTGTTGACAAAATGAATATTTCTGACAAGAATCACACAAGGAAATTGTGCACATTACCTATTTCTAGTGTTTTTTTGATCTGCTAAAAACATGCCACTAATTTGGATCAGATATTCATCATCTGTTCCATTGTTGTGTATGCCATCCAGGCAGCATTTGTAACATGTAATTTCCTCTAACATCTTAGAGTAGAATAAAAAACCTGTTCCAAATGGCACAACATGATATTGTGGAAGCACCTGTATGTCTCTGCAGGCAGCCTGTCTATCATTCTGTTGAATCCACATTACCACAGGGCTCGCTGTGGTTTCACGTTTGGTTTTGTTCTCTCACTGTGTTTTCCCCAGTAATCCATATACCTCATCTGACATTATCACAAAGTTTAAACACCTCATGAAGATTTACCTGTTTTTAACACAAAGCACATTTAAGTGAATAGTTTTAGTCTTTGACATTTTCCAGTCCACTCTTAGCACCCTTCTGGATTACATGTATTGGCTATCTTGTTGGCTAATGTGTTTTTATTATCCGTGATTGTGAAAGACGACAGAAATTATGCTTCTCTAAGGTTATACCTGATGAAGTATAAATAGCATATGTCCAACTACAAACAGAGATATTCAAGGGTAAAAGGCAATTGCCTGACTATCAGGGTCTGCAGCTGCAATACCAGAGAACAATTCAGAAAGATAAGTGAAAAGTTATATTGGCTTTCCTTTCTACTCCTAATCAATTATTTCCAGGCATTACTATTCTCTTTATAATGACTGGGCTTGATGAGAAAAGGCATTAGACATCACCCCTGGTTATTGCTCAGACCATAACCTCTGCAGGGTTGAGCCTTCCAGAAGCTGCCTCCCAGATACCTCCATAACAGTCACATCTGTGAGCAAAACCCTACAGATCAAAACATCAGACTTGCAGTACCCAATTTGCTTTCCTCTAATTTAAAGCTCCTACAGCAAGAACAGATAGATATATTGGGGAGGGAGGGGGGAGGTGGTGAAGGGCAGGAAGAAGAAGCTGTGACCTACCATGCACTAGCTGTAATGATTTTTTGAGCAGTTTTTGGGCGTAAATTAATTTCCTTCCTTCTAAAGCACAGTGGTATGGCTATACAGGGGATCTACTGGGCAGCAACTATCAAGAGAATTATTATTGTTTAGACACTAATAATGTAGTCAGTTGGCTACAGGTAAAGAATCAGGTACTGTAAAAAGAAATGCATTCAGAGCTTGTTAGGGAAATTATTGCAAACTTAAGCAACATCAATAGAGAAGATAGATCATCTTATCAGCAAGGTTCTTGAAATGAGATGATCTAACATTTTCAAGTAAAAATCTTTGTAAAATATTTCAGATTCATCCATCTTATTTTAGATATTAATAGAAATTAAGTAACTAAAATAACAAAAAAAATACAGATGTTCTGCATAAATTAATAGAAAGAGATGAGAAAGTCCAGAGTCCAAAAATCTGAACAGTTTCTATTGTGTCCATCTTTTCCCATAGATGAAAGAGGGAAGCTAAACCAACTACAATCCTCATGCACATGATTACTTCAGAGATTTAAATATGACATCATTAGTTTCCCTAAGGGGAGAATTACCTAGCTAAATGGCTAGCTAATTAGAGATAGTGCAAAGTTTCTTGCAAAGAACAGGAATACCTGCTGTGGGTTGGGGGGGGGAGGTTGTGAACATCCAAACCAGGACCCAAATGCTATACACTGAAGCTATATAAACTGTTTTTCTGATGATGATCCTGAATTAATACAGCCAAGTTCTAACAAGATCTTATTACTTGGGTTTATATATAAGAGGACAGTTTTAAAATTAGAACTGTCTCATGACCAGGTATATCTGAACTAGTAGGAACAGATGCAGCACTCCTATTGCTGATGAAGGTATTAGTAGTTGATGTGATTAAGCAGACATTTCCATATGGGTGTGCTACACCACAGTGCCCTGACAGCATCATACATAACACAGAGGCAAACTGCTGAGGACCCATAGACTGATGTGTGCCATACAAGTATGATAGACTGCTTGCATGCTGTCATGAATTGAATCCTTGTTTATAGAAGCAAAGACAGGAGACGTTTAAACATCTATCATTTAAAGGAGCCTAGGAATAGCAAAGGAATTATTTTAAAAGAAAGTGCCTGGTGGAAAAAAAAAATATATCCTTATCTCTGTTAGATTCAACTTGTGTGCTGCAGTTCGACCATTTACTAAATATTTCTTAGAAATCTTGTTTTAATGTGCATTCTTTGACATAAAAAGGTTTCATAAAGCACCAATAATATAATAATGTAGAATATAAAAATAAAATATAACCAAATAAGATAACATAGAGTAGCAGATTATTTTAAATATAGAAAAAGGACAACTAAGGGCAGAAGTACAATCACCGCTACCTCATTATTATGTATTTCAGGGCAAGTCATTGTGTGTGTGTGTGTGTGTGTGTGTGCATGCACACTTCTAAAAAGGCAGGGTAAGGTTGGAGTGTAGCAACAAAATGCTATATTTCACTTGAAGAACAGGAAAGCGCATTAAAATCAGTTGGGGAAAATTGTTGGAAAAATATTTTAAAAATACATGCATTTTTAAAGTTTAAGACAAAGACCCTCCCTTGGCCCTTCAGTTTCAATAAGTCAGTTAGTCAGTCAAGCCATGATCAATCATTTGCAGCAGGTTCTTTCCGTTTCCTTGCTTGCACAAAACCTGTTACAGTACAATAAGAAGATGAAGAATCAATAAATGGCAAGTCCTAGGAGTCATGTCTGAGAATCAGTATCCTCCACAAAAAAAAAATAAAATAAAATAAAAGAAGAAAACTTTTTTTAAAGCAGGGTAACTTGGGCTGGATGTACATGACTGCTTAATCAGGCTGTTCAGGATTTATACGTTGGCAATGGAATTGTTGGTGTATAAAGAGAGCGTTAATGCCATCCAATTATTGATAAAACAATCATTTTATGTAAGCCATGGGTAGCTGAATACTCGTTACTGTTGGTAACACAAATGATTTCAAATATTATATTTACAATTGCTTAAAGCAAACAAAAAACTGTGCTACAAAACTGGTTTGCAAAGATGGCTGCAGCTACAAACCACTGTCTGAATAATGTTAAAATGTGAGTAGAGCTCATAGCATGGTATTTGCAGTATTTCACAATTTCACTGGATATAAAATCTTTTCAGAAGAAAAAGATATGATGTAGCTTATTCCAAATCTTATCTTCCTGCAGACTAATCTCCTTTGGCAGATAAGACCATTAGCATTGTATAAATTGATCAGGCGCTAAATTCATCGGGAAATATAAATACATAGATCTTACATAATCAGCTATGCTGCAAATGCTAGTTTCATGACTATATAACTCTACTCCATAAAGAATTTTAGCAGCTGGTCAGGCCAGCAAGGGATTAAATGGATTTCACGTGACAATTGCAGCTATAGAAACTAAGTTATTATTTTCCTTTTTTTCATTAAAAAAAGATTCCAGAAAGAAAAAAATTACTATAAGAGAAGTGGGGCAGTTTGTGAGGGAAGAATGCTGAAATAATATGCAAGACATGTAGACAATGGAGATATGATAAATAACCGTTAAGTTCAAGATAAAATGTTGAATTCAACTGGATATATTTACAGAAACCATTAAAATCTTTCTCTAACAGAACAGAGATCTACCACCATGGTGCCATCCCTTGTGTCAGCCCTGGAAAATATTCGTTCAATTGAAAACAAGCAAAGAATTGCAGTCAATTTTAAAATTAGCATCATAAAATAGACCCTTTACAGTTATTTCCTTTTCTAGAGTAAAATCCCTTGTGGATGCAGTATCATGTCTTCAGTTTCCTAATTTTGAACGTTAATTGACTCATACATTTATTTAAATGCGTATTTCCAAAATTAAAAATGAATTCTACATTTCACTCTTCAGACTGCTTCATAGTTTCCTGTGAATTCTCAGGAAAAAACAATTTATCTCTACAGACATGGGATTTTTCACTAACACGAGCTTTCATTGACACACCTTCAACTGACCTGGAAACCTGTAACTTATATTGTTTTCTAGCTCATTCCTGAGGAGTGTTCTAATGCTATATATGGGATTAATTTTATGTCCCTTTAAGAATGCATTTTCTGTTTCCTGCATAATACATTAATGTATGATGATGCCCTTATTATAGCCTTTATAAGTTACATCTAGCCATCGAAGAACAGGTAATTCATCACTAAAACACAAGATAAAATATCATTAAGTATGCTTTGCTTGATAATTACTATTCATTCAGATTAAAGAACAGTTGCTTTCTCATATTTAAATATGTACTGAAAGGCAAGATAGTTTCATTAGTAGCATATCCCATACTGAAATTTTTACTGATTTTTGAAGATACTAATAACATGAGTTATGTGATATTTTTACCATACATTACTAACTATTGCACCGTATGAAAGATTCCAAATACTGAGGTCAATATTACCTAAGGATTTCATTATTGTAATTAGCACAGACTGTTTCCTACCTTTATAGACTGGTCACTCCAACAACAAATGAGTTTCAGCAGTGAAGCATTCGCAAAATCAGAGGAACGGCGTCTACTCTTATCTAAAAAACATGCGTGATTTATGAACTGACAGAATACACAGTTGACAAAAAGAAGGATACTTCACATTTTGAATTTTTCACTTCAGCAACATAATGATTCAGCGAAAATAATTTCTCAGAAAACATTTTTATCTCATAACATAAGCATAAGGCATGCATACATTTATTCTCATCCAACATCATTTTGGCTCATTTTGTTTACAGTGATCTAATTATTTGCAAAGAGAGCAAACCCATCATGGCTTTTAAACATACTATACTATGTATAATCTAATGGTTAATTTAGAAGAGATCTATGCAACTGTGCAAATTTATACAAACCCAGGAATTTATGCTTTGTGACTAGGAAGTCTTTGAGCATTTCAGTGTTCATTTTGCAGACTTGTACCAAGATCCTTCAAACAAATTAAATTTGAAGTTTATAGGATATGTTTCACATTGGACAAGGCTAAGTATGAAAGAACTGAAAATCTTTTTTTTTTTTTTAATTAGTCAAAAATCAACCAAATCTAGAAGAATCAAAGCTATAATACCCAGATTACTAGGTAAAAATGTAATTCTCCTCATTTGATCCTTTTTAAGTGTATGACAATAAGAAAGAGAAAACAGGCTCAGATGGAAAAACATAATTCTATTCTACATATATTGCTCCCACTTCCAGCTTGCAGCAAATTTACCTTAATTCAATGAAAAGCGTATCTACAGATTCTGTAATGCGGTATGCTCATAAAATGAGCTGTTCCACAGTTTTAAAGTTGCTTATACAAAGAAAAACAATCAGAGCATTGACAGTTTTTTATTATTCATGCTATTATGAGGTGGTGGATCCTCTGAACTTGGAGAAGAAGCTGACGAAGAAACTAGGAATAGCTATGTTTTGGTCTTTTCTACATCCAGTGCTTATTACAGGATTCTCTTCCTCAAGATCTATAAAATGATGTAACCTACAGTTTTAAAGAAAATACCTATACTTTCAAGTTGTAAGATCAGAAAATCATTTTCATACACTTCTGCAGTTTCCAATTTCTACGCGTGACTTTGTCCTTCTGTATAGAACAACTAAGAATCTGTCCACCACATTTCATTACGTTCTTTCTCTTTTGTTAATACTTTTCAGATTTGGAGCATGTAACTATGGTTTTTTGCTAGGTAAATTCTACAACAACTTGTATGTTTCTTTACCAATAAACAGTAAAGTCTAAGCAAAAATACACTGAATTACATTTTGTGCAGTTAATCTGCCCAATTTGCTTTTCTGCTTACGGGCAACAATATTTGTCTGTGGTGAAGGATGTCAAATAATTGCAAGCAAAACTGGAGGGCTGCTAGTTATGAAATGTATTCCATATATTTGTGTATGGCTTCTATTATTATACATTGACTTTTTAGATGCTTTCTAAAGTAAAGCACAATTTAAACTATAAGCATTTAAACATCACGTGTTCAGTCCACTTCTTCCTCATTTAGACTTCAATAGAGAAATGTCACACATCTCAGGACTTTGCTATGAGGTTCCTTGCCAGGCATAAATCAAGCAAATTAGTTGTACATTCTTTTGAATCCAGACACTAATATCTGAATGCCAATACAATATAATGTCTTGAAAACAGGAAACTGATTTGGTTTTGGCAACTCTAAGTGTTAAAGTATCACCAAAATTCACAAGCAACCTAAACACACAACACAACCATCCATCCACTGAGATGGTTCTTACTAGCTGATAGAAGAGCTAACCTGAAGCAGTTCTATTGTAAACAAAGTGATCTTTCAACAAGCATCCCTGAGATTGAAAAAGAGTACAGGAAACAGTATCCTATCCAACGTTATCTTCTGCTCTCATCCAAGCAGACTTCAGCTTTATGTCCATGTATGTAAAAATACATTGAAGGATCCTGTTCTAATGTGACTTTGTCTTTAATATTTTAGTAATCTCTACTTCTGTGCAATTTATCCATTTACTTTTTATCATCCCTTAACTTCTTTTTTCTAGCAAGTATTTTTGCTATCATCACAAGTTATATCACATAATAATTACAGCATGTCTAAGAGAGAAGAAAAGATACAATAAAAGATGATTTAGATGGGGTTTTCAAGGCTTATTTACATACCAGAAGGTCAAGCCATTACTTAAAAGAGTTCATGTTAGCAGTTTAGACAGGACTTAACCTATAACAGGAACACTATCTGCTAGGTAGCATATTGTGAAAAATCTACATTCCAGCTTCTATTCTTTGGTTCACTGCATGCTGTAAGAACAAATTTACAGTGGCCTGCAAGCCAAGATCAGTGAATGACTGTCTATGGGACATTAGCATGAAGAGATTACTTTATTTTGCCTTAAGCCAAAAGTCTAAGGGCATTATTGAACAGTCAAGATAACCCTCACATTACTAAGGCAACAGTTTGCTTGAAGGGTTGTATATATTGCAGGGTGGGCATGTAACAGTGCTGAGGGAGATGGGGGAGGGTAAAGATGACCATTTCATTATATTTCAGTTTTTCAGATAACTAGAAAATATCTTAAGAAATTCAGCTAATGTGTTTTGCCACATAAAATGTTTCCTTGAATACAGCATTGCTTATCATTCTACATGCTTTTGTATGTAAAAATGATACTCACAAAAGAAAAGAACAGATTAATACAATTTCTTTATGAACATCATTAAAACTAAAGAATATATATATATATATTCATTATTGAAGATAAGCAATATATTTTAGCTAGTACTGCCATATTTCCATATACTTACTGCGTGGTAACTCTCCATAGAAACTGGGAAATGAAGATATGGCTGCTTCCACATTTTGCCATTTGCTGTGTACAGATTCTGGTTGCTGTAGGCTGAAAGAATATGAAACTTGAATAAAATCTGAACATACAAAAATTTTATGTTTGATTAAAGGTGGATATTCATAGAGTCACAGAATGTCTTGGATTGGAAGGGACCTCAGGAATATCAAGTTTCAACCCCAGTCACAGGCAGGTTTGCCAGCCACTAGATCAAGTACTAGATTGGATTGCCCAGGGCCCCATCCAACCCCGCCTTGAACATCTCTAGGCACAGACTACCCACAAGCTCTTTGGGCAACTTGTTACAGCACTTTACCACCCCCTCAGTGAAAAACTTCCCTTAACATCTAATCTAAATGTTCTTACTACCTATTTCACTTACGTATGTTATAATTTCTCTTCAAGAATAATTTGAATTTTTCACCCTCAACTTGCTATTGAAACAGTCAAATATCCACAAGTCCAAGACCATCATCTAGATGCAGGAACTATACATACAACCCAAAATATTTTGATTATGACTTTAACATGATGTAAAGAATTGCATTAAGATAAAATTTTCATGCAGTATTTGGGTCATCTTTCTATTACATAGCATAAAAGTCTAAAAGCGATAGCTTTATTTTATAAGTCTTTCAGAGTTCTAAATTTTCATTTAGAATATGGCTGCGATACTTGGGATTTTGATACAGAGCTAGAACTTAGGAGACTAACATGTATATGAATACCTCCTTAGGAAAACCCTTCAGTACTTGTCTCTGACTAATTCAAGAATGTAATGAAAAAAAAGAATGAAAACAGAAGAAAGCAAGGGAAAAGCCTTTCTGAACTCTTACACTATTTTAAACAATGTTCTAAATACTTTTCCATAGAGACTCTGAAGTTATAGCATTTAAAAATATTTCATCTTTAAAAATCAACTAGTAAGTTGTACTGTTACAAGAACTTCATGATACTAAACTCTGAAAACTGTCAGCTTGAGCGCTGTTATAGACACAGATATCAAAACGAAGATCTTGTGATAGCTTTTTCCTTTTTATATCCCACTTTTATAATGACATTTTTATGCAAGTTCCTTCATTTTCACAACTGTGATCAAATTGCAAAAAATTGCAGATTCAAAAACATCTTCATGAATAATAGTTTATAGACTCATCTCCAACTTCTTCCAAAATCATGCTTTTCATACTTTTTTCTTCTTTGGATTGCAAACTGTTTTGTGAAATGCTCAAATCCTGTTGAAAGATACTATTTTTTATTTGTTTTTAAATATTTAAATAAATATTTATTAATTTATTAATATTTAAATAAATATTTAAATATTTATATTTTATTTGTTTTTAAAACAGTTTAGTACTGGTTTGATAGCATGTTCAAAACATGTAATTCACTGTTCATTGTTTTCACATCCCAACAATTTTATTCATGCAGTCGGGTAGACAATATTAGACCAATATACTACATCCTGAAACTTACTGATTGAAGTCATTACCTGAATTGAAGTCATTACAAAAGGTCATCAAGAGTTCTTCAGCCCATGTTAACAGAGGGTGCTTAACAGTCAAATTCATGGTTTAAGCAGAAACAGAAACACACACATGCTGACAAAGACAGAATTTCTGCTCAAAATAAGATTATTTTCAACCAAGAATACCAATAATATATGAACTGCATTTTTCTAGTTTTGATTCTCCAGATTAAAAGTGTATTTACTTAACAGAAAAGAAAATCCTTTTGCTCTCCTTTTGTAATAAAATCAGATATGCCAAAGAAATTTAAGTTTTATTATTGTATTCCCTGGATCTAGGCACAGTTGTCTGTCAATGAAATAATTCTCCCTATAGACCAATGAGTATTTCATTGCCACATGCAAAGAGATACAGCATTAGCAGAAGAAAGTTAGAATCCTGAAATCGTAAACCACAAGGCCATGGTAGCATTGTAGTAGTAACATACCTAGACATCCAGCTACAATGCTAGAAATAAATGTGCTTATCTATTAATATGAAATTGGGCAAGAATTTGAATACCAGCTACATACATATTAAGTATTTACTCACTGGCTAGTCTGTACACATTTTTTTAACCTGCTCTGAACTTAAATGTTATAAAGCTTCACATTTCTTGGATTTGTACTCATGTGCCAACAGAAAATAAACTTTCACAGGATGGAAGGTTATATAGCTGTGAAAATGAAAATACTGAAAAGATAGAAGAATCCTGACTAAAGAAATTGAAATTGCTTTTTATCTTCCATATTAGTAATTGAGCTAGTAAGAGTTGTGTTACTGCAGTAATAATTAGTAGATCAGGACCCTTGCAAGCTGTATAAAACATCTTACTAACTTCTTCAGTAAATGCTGCAGCAAATTAAAATTCAGTATTTAGTTTTTCCCTTGAGCATGCAGTAGTTTTAACTAAATCAACTGCTGGAGCAAGTGTGGCTACTTTGCACTTTTAGAAAGCAAATTGTAGAAAGTCACATGTTCTTACTTTCTTTCAAACTCTTAAAGATGCAAAGTGCATTATTGTACCACAACTCAACATAAACAAAGCTCATTTCAATCTTGAATACAAAGTGAACAATGAAAGGATATATCATACAGGAAGATTTCAAGAATAAATTAACATCAACTGTGATAATTCCCTCAGAGAAATCATAGAGGAAAAAGTTAAATGAATGATGAATCTCAGTATCACATTAAATAAATAGTCCTATTCATGCTATGCTTAGAATTAGGGGACAAAAAAAAGAGGGAAAGGAAACTTACAGACCACATATCAAATATTTTGTAACAGTTTTTGCAATATATGGGAAAAAAATACAGTCTGAAGAAAGAGCCATGATGAGAAAAATACTTCGTCATCAGCAGTACAGAGGAAAAGGCCGGGTGACTAGAGCCTTTCAGGTCTGTGCTGATTCACCTCATGTAGTCTAGTTCTGATCTAGTTCCCTGAAAAAGAGTGCTATCCTTCTATATTAGGAAAAGAAAAAAGCTTCTTCTCAGTTATTTTCCAGATGTGTGAGAGACAAAGAATAAAGAAGGAAAAGCCTCTAAACTTAGTATGAGTGTGCAAGTACAGCCAGGACAAAAAGAGGAATGTTATTTCTTACAGCACATATTATTCCTGCTAAGGAGAGCAAAAGGAAAATTCGAAGCTTAAAAATACACATAAATATTACATAACAATTTAAAAAAAAAAAAACAAAAAAACAAAAAACAAAGCATAGGGAGAAACTCAAGAGCTCTTATTCAGATGAGGTCATTTTTTTCTATACAGCTTTCATAATTTTATGGAAGAGATGTTCCAAATACAGAGTTTATGCCTGGCAAAATGTTCAAATCTAAAATGTTTCTGTATTTATACATCTCTGCCAGAGCATTGTACAACAAAGTGCAAACAAATTTTGTTTGTACAAAAAGAAATTGAAGTCCAATCTGGAATCCTGGAAATATCATTTTGTGTAACATCTTGCATTGAGTATGGAACAGCAGGCAATGTAATAAGCAAGAAGAGCAATTGAGAAATCCATGTTTGTCTTGTAGGATCTTGCATATCTCCTGAGGCATCTTGAACGCCTACAGCTTTGTGGAAGATGCACAGTCCTTTGCAGCACAAGGATCAATATTTTTTGTTCTTCCTATTGCCTCTAGGCTATAGCATCAACAACACTGAAGTTAATTGTCCCGAAAATACTAAATACAGACCAACATAGGTTTTCTGAATGACAACAGTCTGTGGACAGACAATATCCATTGCCTGATTAGTATGCTCTATTTGGCTGTGTCAAATAATGTTGAGCATGCTATTTTTTTTCCCCTTAATGCTGAAAGAAGCACTAAGTCAATTAAATTTGTTTTGAGTAACAAATGCTATTTGGGATCGTTCTTACAACACGAGAATATTACTTCAGATAGGATAACTAGGACAGATTGTTTTTGGCTCACATTTTGTTTATCTATGAAGACAGGGTAAGTATATTACAGGAAGTGAAAGTCAACACAGCGCAAATGTGTTAATGCGTCCAAATATGTCTTAGGAGACCTCATTACTCTCTTTAAACTCTGAGAAAAAGCATTCCTTCTGAAAGACAGGATGTGAAGTTGGATAGATCTAATTCTTCTTCAGATGAAACAAGTTTACTCATCAGCTAAATAGAAAAACAGATATTTAACTTTCTTGCAACCTCCTTTCATTTTAAGAGCATTCTACAAAACAAAGCTCTAGAAGAAGAAAGCAATTTGCTGTTAAGGAAGAAAAGACAAGATTTTCTTACCTTTCAATTTGACTCGTATATGCTGAAGGCATGTTAAAAACTCTGTTGATTAAAAGTATTCTGCTTAATAAGAAAAAAATTATTTCAGCTCCCTTTGTTCCGTAAACATTATTCACTGCTCCATCTTTCTCACCAGTGTGCCCTTCGGTTGCGGCAAGGTACTTGTTTGATAAATCAAGCACTCTTTTTGAAAACAAGTTGCTTGAAGTGTGTTCTTCCAGCACACCACCATCAGTACATTTCCATCCCGGCAACATTAATGAGAGGTGGCTTTCATTTGACACAAGTCCAAAAGCAACCGGGCTCTGCAGCCTTAAGATATCTAATTGCCCAACACAAAGATTATCTATTTCTTTATCTACACCCCAGGGTAAGAGACATGACAAAAGCAGTTTAGCTGTATCTGTGGTGATGTTCACATCAATGTTTCCTGATGGCTGCATTTTAGTCTTTCTTGAACTCTTCATTTTTTTCTGTCTTTTTATGCCACCACTTTCTTCCAAAGGCCTAATTGTGTTAGAATCTATATTGACCTGGTTTGCACAAACAGTACCTACTTGTCCATCCACTGACAATGTGAACCCAGCAGTTTTATTTCTTTTTAATGTTAGCGCTCTTTTCTCAATAGTACTTTTGGCTCTTTCTAGAGCATCATAATTGTGGAATGAATTTGATGACTTCAATCCACAGAGTTGAGATGACAGCAGAATATCCACAAGTTTTTCCAGATCAAATAAGAGAACATGAAAGTTTGCGTTGTTCCATTTTGTCTTAACTGGTAAAACAGTAAAGGGCTGTTGAATAAGGCTGTTATCTGTTACCTGAAAGAAAAATATTTAGCATTTAAACAATTCCATAGTATTTTGTAGTTTTGGAGATATCAGCAAAGTTGCACAAGAAATAGGCTAAATCCACTACATCCCCCATTAAGTTCAACATAATTGCATTTATTCACTTGCTACTTCAGAACAAGATTTTTCTTTTAAATAGTTTATGCAAAGTGACATGCTTTTAAATATTGTAATCAAGATTCTCTAATGACTTTGAAATATAGAATAGTCCAATACATTTTTATTGCAGAAGTCAAAATACATACTTTTTTTGAGACACACTTCAGATGCTTTTGTAGAAAAGCAACTACTTTAGTTCACAGAAATCACTGTGACTCACTTTGCCAAAGGGAGCTTTCTGAATGTGCTAAGAGAATCACCAAGTGTTAAAGTCAAATTTTGAGATGGTGACAAAACGGCTATCAGAATCCTGATTTATTTGTTAAAGAAGTACTTCTATCTTCAGGAAACAGCAGACATGAGTATAAACTTCATTTTGATTCCTTTACCTTTTTTCTTTAAGCATTTACAACTCATATGCTTTTATTGTCCTGCACTAGCCTATGCTCTCAGTACTGTGTTCATACTAGGGATCTTTACAATCATAGAATCACAGAATGGACAGGGTTGGAAGGGACCTCAAGCATCATGAATCTCCAACCCCTCTGCCACAGGCAGGGCCACCAACCTCCCCATTCAACACTAGACTAGGCTGCCCAGGGCCCCATCCAATCTGGCCTTGAACACCTCCAGGAAGGGGGCATCCACGACCTGCCTGCAGCACCTCACCACTCTCGGTAAAGAATTTCCCCCTGACATCCAACCTAAATCTCCCCTCCCTCAACTTAAAACCATTTCCCATTAGCAAGCACGTGCAAGAAGAAACATAACAAAGGAGCAAATTTTCAGCCCAGTGAAGCTTTTGTAGAGAGGCAACAGTGTCAGAGGAAAACAGGATTTTCTAGATCATTTAATTTCTATTGTGACAATCAGAAATACTCTACCAGTGCAAATTAAGAGCTGTTTCTGCTATGCGTATGAGCTGAATCTTACAATAAACCATCAGATATTAGTTAAAAAAAAGAAAAATTGACAGCTAAATTTAGCTTGATAATGATGTTAACCATTTTCATTCAAGAGTACTCTTTACATAACTCCTTTTACATTACGAACAAGTTTTGTAGGATTAATTGTTCCTGATCTGTTACAAGAAACAAACAAACAAGAAAACCACAAACAAAACTTTTGACCCTATTTATTCAACAAGTTATTTGACTATTTAGTTTGGAGTAATAAGATGACCCGATGTTCTGTTAATTAGTGAATGATATTAAAAACAAATGAAAACACACTCTAAATACAAAACATTAAGCCTCTCTATGGAGATCCTTAGATAAACAACGGGTTATAGCATAATGTTCATGCTTTTTTTTTCCCCCCCACCATCTCTTCCCTTTAAAAAAAATATTGTAGTTAAGCATTAGGATTATTTTCCATCTTTAATTATACTGCTTCCTAACACTCAGGTAAAGTACACACTGGAATTCACAAACTAGTTCTGAAATAAACAGAAGATTCATACATTTCTGTCTGTTTTATACACTTATATTTTGTTGATTCACATTTAGAAGCTTTTAGGAAAAATCGCCATTCGAACTAGAAAATATCTTGACAGTGTCAATTGGTTGAGGAATCTGGTGATGCTACTGGGCGTGAGGTCACAATAAATGTTTATTGGCAATTCGAAAGCTTATTGACATTGATCCTAAAAGCATCTACCAAGTTGTCTTAGCTCTCTGCAATAGGCATTTCATTTCAGTGAAAGCAGTGGACATCTAAAGCTACAAACATAAAACACTATTTAGGACATATGGACAAGCTATTCTCTCTAACATAAGATGACAGAAAATGGAAGGAAGCCCATAAAAATAACTGAACTAGAGTGCTGGGAATAACATCTGATGATGGTTATTGAAAAGTAGATTAAGTTATTTACATTCTGAATGGTGTATTTGTTAAAGTTCCACAAGTGTTTTACAAAACTAGATTTATTGGCTACAAATAGGTATTGTCATTAATTATTATTATTATTTTTATAATAAACACATGAAGAGTTTAATAATGGCATCAGAAAGTAGGCTAACAGCAGCAATAACAAAGAATGGACTGCCTCTGAGCCATGTGGTCTAAGAGTTCTCCCTGTTGTCATCACACAGGTCTTGCTTTTTTTTTTTTTTTTTTTTTTTTGACAATTTTTGTTCAATGCAGTTTTATTTAAAGTTTGAAAGACAGTCCTGGGTTAATGTGATCACATTCTATATCCAAATATCAAGCTATTTAAGCCTTATTCCCCAAATGAATTTCAAATTATTACATTAAGAAGTCCTCCAATAATACAAAGGCTTCCTTCAGTTCTGCAAGTTAAGTGACAACTCTGTGTTGTACTACTAAGCATAACCCACAGATTTTGATAATCACCAATTTCAAAGGACAGTATAGAGATCTCCTCTTTTTCTAATTCACCCTTGCTAATTAAAAAAATTATTTTTCATATAGCCTACCTTCTGACTCTTCAGTGATGAATACACCAGCTTTCTTTTACCTACATCCATTAGTAGCAATTAGGAAGATTACTTTTAACGGTCTTCTGAAAACTATTGTAGGGACAAAGCTTTTCATGGTTTTAATAACTTGATCTAGATTTTAAAATCTAGCTACTGTCCTTTTCATCACTGTCAAAGTGTGTGACTCTAAAACAATTATGAACATTCAGACGCTCCGCTTGACTTGTTTATAAGAATTAGCTGAATACGCTCTCCTTCTGCATCACTTGCAATAAGTTTAAGAAATTTATCTGAAGTATATCTGTACCAGCCAAGAAAGACAAATTTCTAAAAAAATAAACATTTTCATGAAGTGTAAAAACTGAAACACAAAGTTAAAAGTGTTTTCATTGTCATAACATAGCTAACTCATTGTTTTAAATCTAAAACTAAGAAGTAGCAAGTACTTCATTTTTATCTGAAAATGGTGTCATCGTGCATCATTCCAAAAGCACCATCAACCATTTCAGCTAAAATGTTTCCTAGTCACAAAGTACCAAACAAAGCTTTTAAAGACTTACAAAATCTTATTTTAAACATTCCCAATCCCAGTGTAAGAGTGCTGCCACCACCATCCAAACCAGCAAAACAACATTAGATGCTAAAGTTCAGTAGTGAGGCCAGATATCCCTCATTCAAAAAAAAAACCAAACCAAAGCTTTTCACATCAATGACATTCATGCTAGCAATTAGAATTCAGAATATTTTGCTTCTAGGAGAAGCTTGCATTCACTGAGAGTGTTCCCTTTGAGCCTTCACCTGTGAGCTTTTAAAGAAGCATGGCTACAGACCAAAACGATACCACATTCATGAATCTCTTGAGCGTCGTTTCTGACTGAAGCACAGCTTTCCATATCTAAGAAAGAACAGGGATTCAGGAAGGCTTTGAAATGGTAAGTTACATTCTGTGCATAGAAACTATAAGATAAGAGATCCCTCATTTGCTGCTAAAGGTATTATAACCAGGACACAAGCCATTGCAACAAACTGAAAAATCTCTCATTTCTTTTGACATGGAATCCCTTCCTGCTCTTGGAAGATTATTCTTTTACACTCCTCCTTCTCCCTTTTTCAAATCTTTATCAAATCACCTTAGCACCAGGACAGTATTTTTTTTCTGTGGGATTTGGGGGCTGCCCTCTCCATAGTCATGAAATACATCAGTGTTACCTTAAAAAAGTTAAATGCATACACATTACAAAACTTTCATGGGAAGTAAAATTCGAATCTTTTTTATCTAGCTGCCTTTTCTCTAAAGGCACTTTCCCACTGGGATCCTCCTTAATCTAGGAACACTATTCCACTTAAAATACACACGTCCATTAGCTGGCAGTGACTCTGTATTGTTTCAAATCCTCGTGTATATGTACTTTATTTTGCGTTCCACTTTTCTTCACCAGAAGTACTTTTTTTTTTTCTTATGAGTTTTGTGCTAAAAATACATTTGACAAAAATGGTCCTGACGTTCATTTTACACAAAAGAAATAAACTGGCAAGCAGACTTTGGAAAGTAAACCAGACTCAAAAAATACTTAGGGGTCACTTTAATACCACTGAAAGAAATAGTTCTCAAAGTGTGAGTGGTATCAACTTCTACACAAAAGCATGCCTGAAAGTATTAAATGCAATTCTTATATTCTTTTGGTCTTCTTTATCTATTGTACATATTTTTATATCAAACATAACATACAGCTAACAGGCCTGAAATTTCCCAGTGCCTTCAAAGTGAATCAATAATGTAAACGTGAGTTAGCCTGATGAGAAATATCCGTCCCTTCCTTCCTACGCTACTTCTTCTCCATCCTCCATTGCACAAAAATAGAATTTAGTTAGATTTTGGGTGCAGGTAGTAGTGATTTTTCAAAGTACTATCAAAAGAAAGATTCATTAAAATAAGCACTGCTTCTGATTTTGGAAGAACAAGGTATAATTTCTAAGAATCCTGAGGATTTTGGTTTTGTTTTGTTGGTTTATTTTTTCTTAGCAGATTTATATGTTGCTATTTTCACATATACACTCTTAATAGACTACTAACACTCACCCAACAAAACAGAGCATTTAAAGTCCATGATAATATCTGCATCAAAGGAATGAGAATTCCTCTTTAAAGAATAAACAATCCCTTATTAAATATAAGTACTGATAAGAAATTGCTAATTAATCAAATACTGTCATCCTACTTATGTGTATTCAAGGAAGACAATCTGTAAACAAAAGTTCATATATTTCACCATTCCACACGTTTTTAAGCAAAAAAAAAACACACAAAACAACTAAATCATTAAAACTGCTCTTTACAGTCATTACAGACAGACTATATTTCTGAAATAGTACCAGAGTGTGAGACAAAACTATCATTACGCTCATTACAATAAAATGAACACTACA